CCCCCCCCCTAATTCAGAATAGGTTTTCAAGGGCAGGGGTGATCTCGGGAGGATTAGCTGAACAAAAACAACCACCCATATCGATGTCTCCTTCTTGCTCGAGACGGGGGTTGTCGACTTTGGGCGGCCTTCCTCAAACCCTAAATTCAAAACCCAGAAACGAACAAATCGTGAACAACCCTTAAACGACTGTCTCGAAGAAACCTGCAGAACAAGGCCCTGAAGACTTGAAGCTCAAAAGCCGAGAAGTCCTTTCAACCTGCAGGCGAGGTGCATCTTTAATACCGAGCACACTGCGCTCAGCGGGGTGGTCTCGCATGGCACGGACCTGCCGGGATGGGAGGAAAACCGCTGGGATAGGGGTTTAGGGTTTAGGGTTTAGGGAGGACCTCAACGGTTGAATTCGTCTCGGGTTGTCGGGTCCTGTCTTGAGGAAGCAGCAACCGATTGTTCAAGCCCTGACTTAAGCGCTCTTTTCTTATTATAAAGGTGCCGCACTATATTGGGAACCTGCAAAAACGGACTCTGGTTTAGAAAACTACCCATGTCTCTAATAGTTCCTTAGAATAGGAAAGAAGATACAAGCAATTCCTAAGGGCACTTAAGCTGAAATTCTGAATCACAAACGTAGTGGGGGCAGCTCGAACATCGCAACTCGTAGCATCGGGTTGCTGTTTTCATAGACTCTGGGTAAGGAGCCCCATCAAAGTTTGCCATGTAAGTAGATGCAAGACATACCAGAGTGCAGGGTTTACAATGAAAGGGATATGGGGCCAACCCTCAACCTTTACCTCGAAGGCCTAAAGTTTCGGGTCTCCAAGGAAGTTTCGAGGATGAGGAGGCTGATTGGTGTAACCTGGACGAATCAATGCCCCACGTGCCGGATGTCAAGAGTCCCCAAAATCATTTCCTAGTTAGTGCTCTGTATGAAACAAATTCTTAGTTGCTGAGTTCATAAGCACAAAAAAGTGGTACACTGTCAGTTCTATTAAGGGATCATAGTATCTCAAAAAGTTTAAAAGTGTACTCATTCAGCTAGTTGCCAAGAAATCAGGAGAATCGAAGTAGCCCAAATCGGTACCCCCGTGCTTCTTTGGATGACATCATCCTGTAAGAACCCTAAACCCTGAACCCCTAAACCCTAAACCCTGTAAGACAGCTGTGGCCCAGGAAGGCCGGTGTTCGTGCAACCGAAACCCTGCAAACGTTTAGGGGTTTAGGGTTTAGTAGCCCCTGAATAACAAGGATGAGCTTTTGCCTCCTAGTTGGTTTAATAAAGGGACCCCAAACAGAAAAAGGATGAAAAAGGGCAACATGGCACTACTGGGGGAACTGATGAAGGGTCACAAACCCATGGCTCTGTCAGGCTTATAGGGACTGAGGTTTAGGTTTTGCGGGTTCTTTAGGGTTTACGGTTCTTTCGGGAAAAGGGTTTATTTAAGGTGTATAGGGAAACTTAAAGGGGTCTGTAGGGTTTCTATGCGGGTGTTTCAGGGTTGTATAGGGTTCCTTATAATTAGGGTTTCCTGGGCTTAGGGTTTGGGACTGTGCGGTGTAGGATTTTGCCATTAGTTAGAGGGTTTGCAGTTTTTGAGTTAGGGTGGATACGATCAGTGTTTAGGTTTTAGGGAATGAGTCTCAACATAGTAAACGTGAGCAATGATCGTAATGATGTAACTGTATATAGTGACAACACGTAGTGTGATAGTAGGAGTAAGCACACGCAAGCTAGTGAATGTACAGTACTAGCGTCAACCATGACAAGAAAAATGCCAAGACTAATGATAGTAGTGTCTGGCGTCTGGCCTTCATGTACTTCAGCAGCTTGTCCGCATCTCCCTTGAAGACGTCCTCGCAGTGCCAATTTTGGCATTCGGCAAGAATCTGGAACATTCAACTGCAAAGTGTCTGTTTTTGGTGTTCTATTGGGAATGTAGAACCAATAAAAAGGTTGCAGGTTACATACCAACTCTACAACTAGAAGGAACCAGTGTAAGGGCTTCTTCAGGGCATTAAGACTTAGTGTCTAATTTGAGGTGTCCTCCCACACTCGTGCAAAACAGGCAAGGCTTCACCACAAAACCCTAAACCCTACTGATGCTCCACTGTGCCTACCTGGGCCTTGAAGCTAACTTCGGATCCAGAAGACAGGCCCCTGAAAGGTGCCCAATGAAGCTTCCAATGGTACGAAAGGCTATCGAATTGGAGGGTTCAGACTTCGGTCATTCCGACAGCTCACCTACTCACTTGTCCAGTATCCTAGGGGAACTTCTGTAGCTAGAGGTTAACTCATCTTTGGGATTATATAGGGAGCATAGTACCCCAAAGTGGTTACAGTAAACCCTAAACCCCTAAACCCTAGACCCCCAAACCCTAAAGCCTGAACCCTAAACCCTAGAACCCTAAACCCTAGACACCCAAACCCTAGAACCCTACACCCGAGACCCCTAAAACCCCAAGCCCTAAATCCAAAAAATTGAAGGCTACCTATTCTACCAAGCTTTGAGGTCGAAAGTCGGAGCCTGCGGAAGGAGGGTTTAGGGCTTGGGGCTTTAGGGTTTCGGGTTTTAGGGTTTTGTTTTTAGGGTTTCCTCGGGAATCCAAAGTCCTAAACCCGGACTTAAATTAAATACTACCAGAACCTGGGGTGGGTTGAGTTTTGAGGCCCTGAAAAGTGTTTATGAATAGGTACCTCTATAGGAACCATAAGGGAAATTTTCAAATTTTCCCAAAGTACCGCCTCGTTACAACTTTAATCGGGTTTAGGATTTAGGGTACCGTAATTACGATGACTTACAACTTTTGTATGTTCTTATGCAAAGCCGTAATATAGAAATTCGTATTCTAGGAACCTGCCAAGAAGCAGATGTAGAACTAGGGATTATAGTAACCCAAAATTACGAAATACCCCTGAGTTAATAGTTAATTAGGCTCAATCAGACGACAGGCTCAAGCTCTTTGCCCAGTCGGTGCTCCACCTCCCGGAAGACCCTTGTCTTGGCTGTGTGAGGCACGCGATACATCAAGATCTGGCGCTCGTCCGATGCCGCGGCGATGGCTGTGACCATGACTTCAAAATCATAGCGCAGCTGTGCAGGCAGGCTCTCCGGAAATAGACCAGGGCAATGCCTCACGGCTTCTACAGCGATGTCCACATCGCACCTATCGGATTCTGACAGCTCGTTGTAGTAGCGGCCCGGCCGATACTTCACAGCCTCTAGAGCAAACTGCTTGGAACGAGTTGGCTGCCCGTCAGACCGACTGTCCGCTTCTTGCAGGTACGTCTGTAGAGTATGGAGAAGACGAGGATAGTCAAAGCACTTCGCGCAAACATCCCGAGCATGGACCACAAGTGCACTGACAGGGTCCTCAGTTTCCTCCCCTAGGCTGTTCAACACCTCCGTGGCTGCCAGCTGCCCCAACTCTGTAGCATCGCCACGGGCAAACTCAACAGCTCGCACGTTGTTGCTCACAGCTGTCCTGATAACTTCCATGTTCGATTTCAAGTCTTCCGGAAGGAACTGCAGCAGCAATCCGTCATGACTCACGGCTGGGAGCGCCATCGACAAATCGGAACGGAGCTCGGCCGACGCGTATTCAAACGCAAAGGCATTCTCCTTCATTGCTAGTCGGACGACATCTGGATTCCCCTTGAACCTGAGGTTTGCAAACCGCAAGGACAGGCCATTCTTCTTCACAAGAGCCTTCACAAACTCCTCATCTGCCAGAAACTCTTCCGTTGCATGCTTGCCGATGGCAATGCAGTCTTGCCTGCTGCAAGAGGCCAAAGTATTCCTTACTTGTCCGAGGATCCCAGGAGAACTTAAGGTTTGCCTTCGGGATTACATAGGGATGATGGTCACCCCAAAAAGAGGTACAGGTTACGTACTCTACTACCAAGACTCAGCAGGAAGAACTTGTTTCCGCCGAGCCATGGCAGAACTTGGAGCCAGCGCCACGTCTTGAGCTCGGGCCTCTTGGCAAGTCTGGCTGCCAGTCCTGGGATGGGCCGTAGCTGGGGCTCACCGGCTTTCAGCAACACTTCGCACAGCCGGGCATGCATCTCATCCGGCGTCGTAGCTGACAGAAGGAGAATGTCTTCAAGGAACTTGTCATCTTCCTGGAGCCATGCTGACAAATCCTGGGCTCTGGTTTAAGGAACTTAAGGTTAATTAGTCAGTCAGTCATAATAAGGAAGCCATATCATTTAATCTAGATCCCTGTTATAGCAACCCAAAGTAGAACCCTGTAAATTAAGCCCTAAACGATTTCCCTGGGGTTCAGGGTAACAAGAGCCCAGAATCCAATACAGGAGTGCGCTGGCGATGACGGTGAGGGTGTTGGGCGAAGCGCCGGGCCCTTCTCATCAGCTTCTCTTGCTCCAGGTTGTGCTCCATATACCTATACTGAACTTGGGGCGCTTGCACAAACTATGAATTTTGCCATTTCTTCGGGGTTATAGTAACCAAAAATCAAGAATCACTTCTAAGTACCCCTAAGATACTGGAGAAACTGCAGAGCTTGTCCTGTTTCAACAGCCGCCTCGAGCTTCGCATGAAAGGCTTCCTTCTTCTCCTGATCCCACTGGCACCTCACCACGCTCAGCGTCTGCACTTTGAGATTTGGGGAGGCCCCTTTCTCACAGAGTTCGCCATTGACGAAAATCTGCATGCTGGAAGGGTGGTGACCTGTTTGGGATTGGATACTGCGCTTTAACTCCGACAGAGTCATCTCCTCTTCCAGGGAGCATCCCACAGATTCGGCGGCCAAGGTCAAGATCGTGACGGGCCTATCACTTGGCTGCAATAAGGGGTCACCTGGGTTCTTGTTAAGGGACTTAACTTAAGTTACCATAATAGGGATCTATAGTACATACTATGGTAACCTTATTATGGTTTATGTAAAACATTAAATCCCCTAACAAGAACCCAGTCACGGTCGTGAGGCCCGTTGCGGGCCGAACTGTCGCCCTCGCGCCCCGAAGCCGCCAGCAAGCCTAAACCATCTGCCATCGTCCAACGCAGCCACTGCATGCCAGGTGGAGGGCTTCTCTTAACTCCTAGACCCTAAACCCCTAAACCCCTAAACCTTAAACCCCTATCCTAAGCCCCTAAACCCCTAAACCCTAAACCCAATCCGGATCAAAAGGATTCGCCGGTTAAGTGCTGGGGCTTGAAGTTTTTGTGGGGGCTTTTTACCACCGTTTCGCTGGCTACTAGGGCTCAGGGTTCTGGGTGTAGGGCTTAAGGTTTTGGGTTAAGTTCTGGGGTTCTCGGAGCGGACAAAGGCTTTCACTTAGGGGTGTCCGTGTTGGAGGCAAGCATGCTGTTGAACCAATGGCACAGAGCGTTTCACCCATGCGGTCTCTCATTGAGTTCGGGCTTCGGAGCTTCATTTACGGTTCCAGGATCAAAGCGAAGTCGTCCTTTTCCGCTAGCAAAATCTTGTGCTGTGCACAGGAAGTTCCCGGAAGGACTCCGGAAGGACCCGAAACCGCGCAAGACGGACGCCTGGGGTCCTGCCTAATGGAATCTACAAGGAAAGCCTAATCAAGGAGCCACCCAAATTTCATGTCTTGTTTGGTTGGGTGACAAGCGGGGTTTGCCTGACCTCTAAACCCTACACCCTACCAGGACCCCACACAGAGCCCTTTAATAGAGCCCATGCTCCTTGATTCTGGAAACTGGGGTATGATAGATCGAGACTAGGGGGTCGGTCAAGGACTCAAGGACTCCGCTGACCCTAAACCCTAAACCCCCAAACCCTAAACCCGAAACCCTAAACCCAAACCCCTAACCCCTTAACCCCTAAACCCCTAACCCTGAACCCCTAAACCCTAAACCCTGGGTTCCACCTGAATCTTCATGCACGCTCTGGGACAAGCCAGGCAAGGGCCCCGCCCTACCTTGAAGCCTCCAAAACATACCTTTTGGCATGGCCCCTACAGTATCTATCCCATATCTTATCGAGGTCTATCATAAGAACCCAAAAAGGTGGGACATGGAATGTCGTGGCAGTTTGAGGTAAGGTTGAGGTTTCCATATGACTTCTCGTTCCTTACTTAGCCAAAGATCAAAAAGAAGATACGGGGAAATTGAGCCTCTAGAGACTGGGGGGCCTCCTGTGCATAGAACATCTTACCTCCCAAATACCCATAGATTGAACAGTTCACACTACCTTATAAGAGCCCCAAGTGTTGAAAAGTTGGGCTTTGGACCAATGAGACTCACATAGCACCAGCTTGTATGTTCTTCTTCAAGTATCGGGCCCAAACAAGCTCAAACTTTCGAAGATAGACCAAGTATATAAGGCCCAAAAAAGAATGAAGTTCTCCCATTGGCTATCTAAGTCTTTTTCTAAGCATTACGTGAAATTTTCCTTTTGTAACACCTCGACCTCACACGAACACATGCTTTGTAGTTGTGGAGAGTCGTTCCAGCGACGGATACTAGAATGCCTCAGCCCTGACCACTGCCCATGCAAACTCCATGATGATTCCATCGGGCTTCATCTGTACATCTAAACATCGTCACAAGTTTAATTAAAAAACCATCGCTGAACACTGTCGAGCCCTGAACGTTCGGACCATTGAACCTAACCTTCAATCCGTCCTTCCTAACCCCGATTCCTACATTTCATTGACTTCGGGACCATCCAGTTGTGAAGACACTTCCCAGTCTCTTTGAGTGGGAGTATCACAGAGTACGGCCGCTGTGCCAGGATCCGGGCAAGTGCAGGTGATTACTTCCGAAGTGCGAATGAATGGCTCCACAAGGAATGTAGGCGCAAGTCCAACTGCATTACCGTGCGGTATCATGCATGTACGTGGACGTGCGAACCCAGAGAGCCCAATACCCCGTAATTAAGTACTATAGCTTAAATCATGGTAAGAAGCCCCGGATAATTCAATGTATATTACTTCATTAGGGGGTATGGGGCTCTCTGGGAAACTGGGTATGCAGCTGCTTACCTCCAAGCGCAGATCGACAGAAAAAAGATGGAGAGTGCTGCGACAATACAAAGAGAGGAAAGGACGTACTCAACACACCCTGACGCATAGGAAGACTCGTATAATTAGCTCCATAACTAGACCTGTCCGCCAGCACATCAACGTGATACTTTCTTCTGTACAGGTACGTGCGCATGTCTCCATGTCCATATATGCAGAACATAAGCGACCAGAAGCTGCAAGCATGCATTGACGCACACGCGCATGTGCCTGTGCGTGCGTGCTAGTTATAGCAATTCGTGCCTGTTGGGTTTCTGTCCATGTATCTCCGTGACGAGGCTGCGCACATGAAGGCAGTAAAAGAGACCTTAACAATTTCAATAGGGTGCTGGGCTCGTTTATGGTATGAAAAAGGCTTTTACATCATGTTTCTTATCCCACAGATTCCTTTCAAGGAATGTATGGTCGCCATACTTTAAACTACAAAAAACCTACTTGTTTGTAGGATCCCTATGAATTCAATGTTAGGGAAGGACCTGCAAAAAAGTAGGTTACGGTAGTTTTATGGTACTTCAACCCTGGAACCTTACTATAGTCTTCCCATCAATCTGGAATAAGGAGCAATGGCGAGTCTCTTGTGGAAGAGCCACGCCGTGATGATGTGAAAGAAGAATCTTGAAAGGTATGTGGTTAAGGGCAGCTTATGGCTTGCAGGGATCGAGGGTTCTGGGGATTAGGGTTCAAGGTTCTCACAGTCATGGTGCTTGTGTGGAACGAGCTCCAACTGGGGAAGCATCCCCCGCTACCAGCCGGGCCTTCTGGATGCGTGGGCCTTAAAACTACGCCAGCGCCGCCGGGGTGCATTTGCACATATCTATGTATCAGGCGCGGCGGGAAAACACCGAATAGGCATGTGGACACCAAGCCAAACTTGCACTGCTAGTTCTTCCCTTTCAAAACCACATCTTCATGTACCGGACCCTATTCTTGTAGGATCCTAACATGAAGCCTCGCGATCATTCAGAAAGTAGAGGGCCCCGACAAACCCTTTTTGAACCCAGACTCTGCCGACGAACCCTATAAACCCTAAACCCTCTTAGAGGGGCCCCACAAACCCCGTAATAAGCTGGATCGAGGAGCTGCCCAAAGCTAAGTTCTCTGTTTGCGTTAGGCTGCGCCATGCTTCCGCCTACATGGAGGTTCAGGGGTAGCTACAAGAGGGGTTAGGTTTTAGGGTTGGTTTAGGTATAGGGGAATATGGGTTACAAGTATGGTTACCCTACTTACCAACCCGACTTGTAAATACCCCTGAACCTCCAAGTAGGGCCTACTATAGGGGCCTTGGTAACTCCTCGCATGCTTGCATTAACGCGGGGCCCTTTGTAGTTAGTCTACAATGTCAAGGACTATAAATGGACACTCTGTCTAGCTTTCCACTTCCTGATATTATGTGTAACATCTACCTCTGCCAGCCTACCGCTTCAAGCTCCCGTAGAACGGCAGACAAGCCTCAACACTGAAGGCACGCGCCACTTGCTGTCTGCCTGGCCCCCTGAACCCAAGACCCTAAACCCCAAGACTGCAGGCTGCACCCGACATTCTAGAATAGACTCTGATCCGAATTTCTTAACCCTAGCGGCCCCCGAAACCCAAAGGCCTAAACAGCCTTAAACCCTAAATGCCCCCATGCCTTCAACAGAAGGCCGGAAGTCCTGAACCCAACCCTAAACTAGCCTAAACCCTAAAACCCCAAAACCCCAAAACCCTAAAAGCCCTAAAACCCTAAACACTAATCCCCTAAACCCTAAAACCCCCCAACCCTAAAAACCCTAAAACCCGAAATCCCCCACGAAGTCAATCGGGAGCTTGGTGTCACGATTCGCCCGGACTCTTGCTAAGGAACTTAGGTTGCCATAGGGTTACTGATGTAGGAACCTGATTAAGAAACCCTGGCCCTATAATCCCATTTAAGTAGGATTCATATTAAGAACCCTAATAAAGACCCAGGGTAACTTAATCAGGTTCCTACATTAGAAAGGATGCTACAAGGGTTTCTGTAGGGTTTAGGGCTTAGGTTTAAGGTTAAATTCTTGTTAAGGAACTTGGGTTACTATAAGGGATACTATAAGGATTGCTACAAGGGCTTCTATGCGCTTCAGGGTTTAGGGCTCAGGAATTTAAGTCGGGCTACCACAGTCGGGTTCCATAGTAAATGATTTGGTGCCCTTATCATGGTAACTTAAATTCGAAAGCCAAACCCTGAACCCTAAACCCCTAAACCCTAAAGTTTAGGGTCTAGGGTTCAGGCTTTAGGGCCCTAAAACCCTCAATCCTAAAACAAAAGTCCTTAACAAGAACCCAGGCATTCGATAGATGGCTCAGCTACGACCTCATTAGGCCGCCAGTCCTAAGGGGACGGCCGCTGCAGAAAAAAATGCCGACAAGTGTAGACGGCTGAGGCGTCGGGGTTTAGGGTCTAGAGATTTAAGGATCTAGGGTTTAGGGTGTAGGCTTTAGGCTTCAGGGTTTAGGGTTTGGGGCTTTAGGGTTTTAGGGTTTAGGGTTTAGGGTGTTAGGGTTAAGCGTCTAGGGTCTCGGGCGTTGGCTTTCCGGCTTGAGCCTGAGGGTTAAGGGCAAAGCTCGGAAGTTTAGGGTTTAGGGTTTAGGGTTTTGATGCTTTGGGATCGACCATCACTCAGCTGTCACTTATCGAATGCCCGCCTCCCTCTCACAGCAACCTTGGACGACAGGAAGCCACCCTAGACTCCCTAGACCAGAAACCTGAAATCCTAAACCCCTAAATCCCCGAACCTCTAAACCCAACCCTAACCTTTGAAACCCTAAACAAACAAACCCCAAACCCTAAACACTAATACCCTAGACCCCTCAACCCTAAGCCCTGAAACCCTAAAGAAACCCTTGAACCCCTAACCCCTCAACCCTAGAACCTGAACGCTACGTCCGATCCAGTATCAGGACCTACTAAGGCTAACTTTAGGGTTTAGGGATTAGGGGTTTAAGGTTTAGGGTTAAGGCCAACCCCCTTTGGCGCCAAAAGGGTAGTTCTCTAACTTCGGATCCTGT